GTATTTGATTGAAGCATTGTTATTATTAGTGTTATTATCTTTGTCATTTATTTCTCAGTTTTTTCTTTCCTTCTTATTCTTCCTTTCTTGGTTCTTTATGGTAGAGAGAGAGAGAGAGAGAGAGAGAGAGAGAGAGAGAGACCAGCCGCTATATCAACAAACTGTGGCAGACATCGTGACCTGGCCTGGGGGAGTTAAGTTAAGTCTTCCGTATCTGCTGTGAGAACTCTGCTCTCTGGTTAGGTTAGGTCTTAGGGTATCTGCTCTCTGCTCACATCCCTAAATATAATACAGGGTAACACAACAAGATGGGGTTTGTTTATATAAGGTGGAGTTAATGACGAAAGATTGCTTATATAACACGGAAGAAAGATCGAGTTTGTTTATATAACCTGGAGAGTATCCCCCTTCCTTCTTTCCTTCCTTATTTCACCTGATGAATAAACACCCTAACGCTACCTGGTGGGATTAGGTTAGGTTAGGTATGGTTAGATCAGGTTAGGTATGGTTAGATCAGGTTAGGTTATGTTAGGTTAGGTAAGGTTAGACTAAGAACATAAGAATGGAGGAAACTGCAGCGGGCCTATTGGCCCATACTGGGCAGTCCCGTTTACACCCAACCCCTATTGCTCATATAAGCATCCAACCTACTGTATGTTTGAAGCTATCCAGCGTATTCGAGTTAATGATGATATTTGGTAACTTGTTCCACTCGTCCACTACTCTATTTACAAGCCAATGTTTACCTATTTCGAGCCTAAATATAAATTTGTCTAATTTAAAACCATTGTTACGAGTTCGCTCCTGGTTGGATAGTTTGAGTACCTTTGTTATATCACCTTTGTTTAGCCCTGACCTCCACTTATACACCTCTATCATATCGCCCCTCGCTCTACGTCTCTCTCGAGGGAGTGAAAATTAAGATGCTTTAACCTGTCTCTGTACTCAAGGTTCCTAATGCCCGGGGTAAGGTTAGACTAGGTAAGGTTACGTTTGGTTAGGTTAGGTAAGGTTAGATTAGGTAAGGTTACGTTAGGTTAGGTAAGGTTACGTTAGGTCAGGTTACGTTAGACTAGGTAAGGTTACGATAGGTCAGGTTAGGTTAACGTTAGTATATTAACATACCAGCATGCCTTTCTAGTTAATTAAGTGTTGTGGTGAGAGTGGAAGCTGATGGGGTGATTGCAGTAGTTAATTAATGAACCAGTGTGGCATTTTATCAGTTTGGGTGAGAGTAGATTTATGTCTGTCTGTTTCTAAGGCTATTTATCTGTCTGTCTGTTTGTCAAGGTATATATAGAGATAGGAAAGAAAGATAGAGAGGCAAGGGAAAAGAGAGAGAGAGAGAGGGAGACAAACAAGGAGAAAGAGTAAGGGGCAGGGAAAGAGAGAGAGAGAGAGAGGGAACAGGTTACAAACAAGACAATAAAGAGCCATTTGACAACCCTTCAACAGACCGCACTTACAAAATTCCCCCAGAATACATCGTTCCTTCCCACAATACATCGTCCAAACAGAACCTTCTCCCAAAACGCCCACTCACACCACACTCGCACCACTCACACACTTTAAAAACCTCTCTTCATTCCCTCTCACACCACTCAAACCCCTCTCATTTCGTTTCGTATGTGAACGAAAGGTAAAGGCGTAAGGGCTATTGACCCGTTCGTTCACAAAATGACCTTCCCAGCGAGGCAATAGGCTAGGGACGTCCTCAGGTCTATCCCAGCCTGTGGGGGTAATACTGAAACATTCTTACGGTAGTTTGAGGGGTAAGGGAGGATTAGGGCGCCAATCACCAGTGCTGGATTACCTTTGGGATTGTTAAAGCGCGATTCGTTACCCCTCGACCAATCAGGGTTAGGCTTCCTGCTGTGTTTGTTGATGACGTGGTTTATGACGAACGACATTGGTTTGGTTTTGTCTGACAGCTTCAGTACGACACCTTGAGCCCCTTAGTCCTTAACTTTTAACCCTTAGTCGCTTAGCCTTTAACCCCTTAGCCTTTAGCCCTTAAGTAATGGATTTAAGGGGTAAGGGGGTGATAATGGGCAGCTAAATAAGGGGAAGGAGCCATAAAACTCTAACCATTTGGAAATTTACACTCCTTCCCTCCTTCCCTCCCTATACCTTCTCCCTTCCTTCCCTTCCCCTTTCACTCCCTATCCCTCCACTCCCCTCCCCATATCCCCCCCTCCATCCCTATACCTTTACCCTTCCTTCCCTCCCCTCTTCTCCCTCCCCCTCTAGGTCGTGCAGGGAGGGAGAAGGGAGGTAGGGTGGGTGGCAGGGAGGAACCATGGGGTTAGTATACTAGTGGTCAGTGGCCTACACTCTCTCTCTCTCTCTCTCTCTCTCTCTCTCTCTCTCTCTCTCTCTCTCTCTCTCTCTCTCTCTTTCTTTCTCTCTCTCTCTCTCTCTCTTTTATTATCACTTAGGTGCTTCAACAGAGTGAGTGTGTGTGAGGGCCTGTGAGTGTGTGTGAGGTAGTGTGTGACCT